AGTAACACAATAGAAAGAGCCCTGACTTTGGAATGAGACCTGAATTTAAATTCCACATCTTCCATGTATCACATGTGTTACATTGGGCAAGGTATTTAATCTATGTTTTCTCATACATGTAATGAGGACTACCTCACAACATTACTATAAGTATTAACTATAAACATCTTTATATGTGCCTGGGAAGTATAAATGCTCATGTTTTAATACTCTTGCCATTTATTTTGAACAGATGATGTCAGTTCATACAGACTGTATTGTGTCAGTGCAAATTTTAAGTACGTTGATGGAAATAACAATTAGAAATGGTAAGTATATAAATGTTGCTGTGATTTRTAGCATGTATATTGGTTATTTCTCGATCTCTTTCATATTCTAAATGTTAATGTATTTGGAGATGTTGAATTAAAAAATTGTTTTGTAACCAAATATCTTTAATGATGAAATGAACTCCAATAAAAAGTGAGTATATGTGTGGGGCATGGTGGGGCATGCCTATAATCCCAGCTACTTCAGTTCCTTTGTATTGCAAGTTGAGGCCAACCTGGGCAATTTAGCAAGACCCTGTCTCAAAATAAAAAGGGCCAGCGATATAGCTCAATGGTAGAGCATTACTGGGTTCAATCCAGTGTGCTACTGCAAAAAAAATGTACTGGTATCTGTATTTTTTTAGTTGCATTCATAAAAGGCAGTGTAAGATTTTGCAAGTGGCAATCTTTTCTTAATATTTAGCAAATCATGGCCTATTTCGGAGCAATAAATGGAAATAATTAAGATTTATTTAAAAAATTAATTAAAAATTTTTTTTAGTTGTAGATGGATACAATACCTTTATTTTATTTATTTTTTTATGTGGTGCTGAGGCTCGAACCCAGTGCCTCACACATGCTAGGCAAGTGCTCTACCACTGAGCCACAGTCCCAGCCCCTCAACCAATTAACTTTAATTGGCTTTTTGGTGAGCAACAGTATTGTATTGATATTGCACTAATGCATATTGAAAGCATCTATTGCAAAAGTGTGATAGTTGCTTTTTCACCTTTGAGAACCCTTATATTAAATAAAAGAAGCATTATGGTTTACTTGATTACTTGTTTGGGAGAGTTAAGACTTATAAAGATAATAGAATCTTCCTATGTGGATGGTGGTTGGGATTTTACCATTGTTATATCCGTTCATTTCAAAATGTATTACTTCAAGCTGGATATGGCTGAGGCTGGAGAGAGGCAGCAGGATCACTTGAGCTAACCAGTTCAAGGCCAGCCTAGGCAACATAGTGAGACCCTGTATCCAAAAAACAACAACAGCAACAACAAAACAAAATGATTACTTCCTTCTGAGTTACACTCATCTATCACTCTCAGGTAGTTTCTTCATTAAAGTCATTTCCTTCATACTTGYTTGAAAATCTATAATTCCTTTGATCATTCTGTAACTTAAACTATATTATTAACATTATTAGCAGATGATATTTTATATAAAATCATTTTAATCTATGTTTTACATGCAGGCTATCATTTTGCAAATATGGGGTTTGTAGACCAGTGATTTGGAATAAAATATTTTCTTCTGTTAACCAGATACTTTCAGTGACTCACCAATTTGGCCTTGGATCCCATCATTGTCTGATATAGCAGCTGTGTTTTTCAATATGGGGATTGATTTTAGATCTTTGTTTCCTCTGGAGAATCTTCAACCAGACTTTAATGAAGACAATCTAGTGTAAGTTTCCTTTTTCATAATTAACTCCCCAAACAACATTTTAAAATAAGTTACATAAAATAACAATTGATATTGGTTTAATGAGTTCAGTATTGTTCTTTATTATTTTAAAGGAATCTCTTAGAGTTGAGATCAATCTTAAAATAGATACATTTTTAACATCTGTCTTAATCTAAAAGTCATTATCATGTTTAACAGGGAAATGATAGAAACATCTCCATAAAATGTTGTGGTTTTTCTGGGGTTTTTTTGTTTTTTTTGTTTTTTTTTTTTTTTTTTTTTTTTTTTTTTTGATACTAGGAATTGAACCCAGGGGTGCTTAACCACTGAGCCACATTCTCAGCTCTTCCTATTTTTTTGTTTTGAAACAGGGTCTCACTGAGTTGCTGAGGCTGGCTTCAAACTTGTAATCTTCTTGCCTCAGCCTCCCAAGTCACTGGGATTACAGGTGCATGCCACCACACTCGGCTCCCATAAAAAGGTTTTTTAAATCCAGGTGTGGTGTGGTGGTGGCACATATCTATAATCCCAGTGACTGGGTATGCTGAGGTAAAAGGATCACTAGTTCAAGGCCAGCCTTGGGAACTTAGTGAGACCCTGTCTCAAAATAAAATGAAAAGGTCTGGGGATATAGTTCAGTGATAAAGAACCCCTGCGTTCAACCCCCAGCAGCCCCACCCCCMAAAAAAGTAAGATTACTCATTGTTTTGTAGATATTGACCAAAGTCATTGGCAAGAGGAAAGAAATAGCATATAAAAATCAGAAAGAAGTTGATGATAAATCATTTATTTGATAAGTGATTTAATCCATACATAGAATTGTATAATCAGTTGAAAATCGATGAAAAATAGAATTTGATATGGGTGCCAGCATACAGGATTTATGAAAAACCAATAACCGTTAGATAGCTGATCTGCAGCTAATTTAAATGATAACACTGAAAGGTAAGACAGTAAATTTTTTAATTAAAATTTCCATTGACAGTAATTTTTTTTTTAAAGAAATACCTAGGAATAAACTCAACTGGAAGAGAGAGAGAGAGAGAGAGAGAGAGAGTGTGTGTGTGTGTGTGTGTGTGTGTGTGTGTGCGCGCGCGCTTGTGTGTAGGTAAAACATTACTAAAGGACAAAAAGGACTTTAGGGGAAAGCCTGTCATAGTTCTAATATGAAAATTACACATTATTTATAATGAGATCCTGAAGATGGCGGAGTAGCAATGCGAAGCGGTCAGTATTAAGTCTTTGGGCCGACTTCGGTTCTGGTCTCCGCAGCAGCAGTGATCGCTGAGCGATGAGTGCCTAGGATAATTGCCCAAGATGCTGAATATCAAAATCTTCAGTGGCAGCTCTCATCAGGACTTACCCAGAAAATTGCTGACCACTTGGGCCTGGAGCTAGGCAAGGTGGTGACTAAGAAATTCAGCAACCAGGAGACCTCTATGGAAATTGGTGAAAGTGTACATGGAGAAGATGTCTACATCATTCAAAGTGGTTGTGGTGAAATCAATGACAATCAAATGGAGCTTTTGATCGTGATTAATGCCTGCAAAATTGCTTCAGCCAGCCRGGTTACTGCAGACATCCCATGTTTCCCTTACACTCGGCAGAATAAGAAGGAAAAGAGCTGGGCACCAATCTCAGCTAAGCTTGTTGCAAATATGCTGTCTGTAACTAGTGCAGATCATATTATCACCATGGATCTGCATGCTTCTCAAATTCAGGACTTTTTTGATATCGCAGTGGACAATCTGTATGTAGAGCCAGCTGTCCTGAAGTGGATTAGGGAGAATATCTCTGAGTGGAGGAATTGCACTGTTGTGTCACCTGATGCTGGTGGAGCCAAGAGAGTGACCTCCATTGCAGACAGGTTGATTGTGGACTTTGCCTTGATTCACAAATAACAGAAGAAGAAGTGGACCGCATGGTGCTAGTGGGAGATGTGAAGGATTGAGTGGCTGTCCTTGTGGATGACATGGCTGACACATGTGGCACAACTTGCCATGAAGCTGACAAACTTCTCTCAGCTGGAGTGACCAGAGTTTATGCTGTCTTGACTCATGGAATCTTTTCTGGCCCAGCCATTTCTCGAATCAATAATGCATGTTTTGAAGCAGTAGTGGTTACCAATACCATACCTCAGGAGGACAAGATGAAGCATTGCTCTAAAATACAGGTGATAGACATCTCTATGATCCTTGCAGAAGCCATCAGAACTCATAATGGGGAATCTGTTTCCTACCTATTCGCCATGTTCCTTTGTAATAGAATAACTTGAGGCTTTTTTAAAAATGAAATCAATTCTACCCCTTGATTCCCTTGGTATTTTATGGCAAATTCAGCATAAGACCCAGCTTGCTCCAGTATAGCTTTCTATATCCCACATCATGTAAATGAGAGTTTATTGTAAACTGGGGGAAGACAGATTGAGATTAACTGCTGGGATTTCTTTAACTGCATTGTCTCATTCTGGTTTCCATAATGATTTTGTGAACTTTGCAGCTTTAACTAGAGTTCAGCTGCTGCAAGATCTCAGACTTATGAGGGTATTGAATAAGGCTGTTTGAATGATTGGGGAAGCTCAGACTTTGCATGTGAATGCTTTGGGGATTTTTCTTTGTCAGAACAACTAGCAACAAAGCAGCCCATGTGTGACAAGTTCTCCAAGATCTATGATAAATTAAGAACAAGAGCCCTGGGCAACYCCCAAACCTATTCTCCTGAGCAAGCACCCTGTTAAGGCAGGAGCAGGCAACTCAGCCTGAAAAAACTGTTGGGTGGGATCCTGAGAGAGGAGGGGATAGCACAGTGCAGCAAATGTTTTTTGGGAGGAAGAAGCCTGATTCATTGTCATCTGCTTGACCATGTAGCTTATATTTCCTTTGTACCTATTCCTTTCTATGGCTTTACAATTTCAGCCATTTTGACCTTTTCCTGGCCAGATATCCTCTTGGGCCCAAACAATCATTGTACCATAGTCTTCTAGAACACAAATTTGCTTCCTGCTTTGTAATTGCAAATATTCACATTAGATATTTTGCTGTAGCTTAACTTTCTTCTTTCTTCCTGTAATCTGTTTGGCCTCTCCAATGACCTGACKTTTCTGTTAAAAATTATGAGGCAGAACTGGCCCAAGAAGATCATAAAGCAGTATATTACAATTGGGAGGATACAAAAGTTCCATCAGTGGAACAAAATAGAGAAGTCCAAAAAGAGTGAGCTCTTCAATATCCAGTATTATCCTATATCTGGAAAACCTACTAACTGCCTGGAAGAAAATTTAGATTTATAACTCAAAGTTACAGATCAAAGATTTTAAATGTGTACAATGAAAACATAAAAGTAATAGAAGAAACTGGCAGGATTTTTTTTATAATCTTTGAAGAGAGGAAGATGGTTTTATATAATACCTTCCATAAAAAGAAATATTAACTTATTTGACCACATTTGAAAAAATCTGCATGCAAAATCATTATAAACAATATGAAAGAAAAACCTCAAAATGGAGAGGGAGGTAAAAAGTGTGTGTGTGTATGAGAAGCTGTGTATATGAAACTTAATGTCAAATCAGCAAGAAAAAGATAAATAACCTATTAGGAAAGTGGCAAAGGAAATGAAAAACTTACAGAAAAGGATATAAGAGCAATTCTTAAATATTATGAAAATATATTCACGCAAAGGCCTGGGTTTGATCCTCAGCACCACATAAAAATAAATAAAATAATAAAGATATTGTGTCCAACTACAACTAAAAAATAATTTTAAAAAGAAAGAAAGAAAAAGAAAATATATTCAGCTTCACTTAAGAGAAAAATGCAAACTATTATAATTTGGCATGTCCAAAAAATTCTTCATTTCTTAGGTTCTTTTTTCATCTTGCATCCTCAGATGTCATTTATATCTGAATATATGTTGGATAGCAAATTTTTAAATGGAGGTTATACTCCACTTTTACCCACCTTTGTGATGCTAGGGATTGAACCCAGGGTCTCACACATGCTAGGCAAGTGTTCTACTACTGAACTACACCCCCAGACCTGTTTCATCACTTTAAATAAAAAAYTTAATGCCTTTGCAGCCCATGCAAAAACCCCACATTTCTCCCMCATATAACTAGAATACTCTTAAACATCTATAATAAAAAATTTACCTTATATTTCTGCATAATATAAACATTTAAAATACCAACTACTTTATTAGTTAACATTTTAATGAACTCTCTGGTAATTTTTTATGTTGTATGCAATAGATTTGAGTTTTTCTTAACTGTTGAAAGTATATACAGTAGTTGAAATAAACAACAAATTAAAGATACATAGTGATTCCTTCAATACATAATAATGCAAATAATATTTGGCAAAATCAAACAATGTTTTRTTAGTTACTTAAAATTGAAAAGTTGCATCATTTAGGTTTAATGATTGGACAGGGAAGTTGTGGCTGTAGCACTGTTGCTTCACTGAGTAAAGATTGGGAACAGGTCAGTAAAAGGGTGGCATAGAAATGACAGCAATGTAATGAAATGTCTGTTTAATAACATGAGAATGAGTCTGAATCCTGTTGACATATGATCATAGCTCATTCTTCTTTTTAATCAGAACTCACACAAAACATATAGTTTTGCTTGTGTATAAGTATTCATTATAGGAAGTTCTAAAAACTTTTGTAGATTGTTAGATAAAATGTTTGTAGATTGTTAGATACTCAGGGATATATCAGGGATACTGGTACATTTCTTTTCTTGACCATCATTGTCATCTGYTTGGCCATGTAGCTTGTATTTCCTTTGTACCTCTTCCTATACACAGACTTTGAGTACTAAGTACATCCAAATTTGTTTCAGTTCAATTCTCACATTCCTGTGTTCCTCCTCCTCCTCCTTATCTCATAACTATTTCTTCCTTTTTATTCCCAGTATCAGTTTTCTAATTCGGATTTTCTTTTTCATGCCTAGCCTGGTGAAATTTCCTATTCTCTACCATCTTTCTACCTCCAAGATATTAGTTTCACTGTTAGAAACAATTTTCTCTCCCTTTCGCATCCCATATTTAAGATTTTGCAATTTTACTCTGACCTATTTTCTGTTTTGCTCTCAGACTTTTGTTCTAAGCTAATTGGTCTACTCCTTTTCCCTCCACATCATAGTTTTTAGCCCTTACGTGGTTTTTGCTATATGCCATACATTATTCTAAGGTCTGAACATAATATCTCACTTAATAGTAACTGCAAATATTTATAGTATTTCATTCCCATTTTGAGTAAGTGGGGCACAGAAAGGTTAATATTAAGGTACAGAAAGGTTAATATTAAGGTTAAGGTTAACTTGCCCCCGGTTTATACAGCTAGGAAGGGGCGCAAGGGACTTCTAAGTAGGGTTTTGCTCTGTTTCCTTTTGTTTTGTAAAGGGAATTGAACCCAGGAGCACTTTGTCACTGAACTATATTCCCCAATCATTTTTWTTTTTTTTTTTTATTTGAGATATGGTCCTGGCTGGGGATGTGGCTCAAGCGGTAGCGCGCTCGCCTGGCATGCGTGCGGCCCAGGTTCGATCCTCAGCACCACATACCAACAAAGATGTTGTGTCCGCCGAGAACTAAAAAATAAATATTAAAAATTCTCTCTCTCTCTCTCCTCTCTCACTCTCTCTCTCTCTCCTCTCTCACTCTCTCTTTAAAAAAAAAAAAAAAGAGATATGGTCCTGCTAATTTACTGAGGGTCTAGCTAAGTTGCTGACACTAATATCGTACGAAGTGCCACCACATTAGCCTAAACTGCTATTTTTAAGAATAAGAAAATTGGGCCTGGAGTTGTGGCTCAATGGTAGAGTGCTCGCCTAGCATGCACGAGGCACTGGGTTTGATCCTCAGCACCACATAAGAAATGTAAAATACAGATATTGTGTCCACTTAAAATTAAAAAAAAAAAAAAGAATAAGAAAGTTATTGCCAGGTGCAGTGGTATACTTCTGTAATCCCATCACTGGCCGAAGCAGGAGGATTGCGAATTCAAGGCCAGCCTCAGCATCTTAGCAAGACTAAGCAATTTAGTGAGACCCTGACTCAAAATAAAAAATAAAAAGGGCTACAGATGTGGTTCAGTGGTTAAGTGCCCTAGGTTTAATCCCAGTACCAAAAAAAAGAGAGAGAGTTTTTTTTCCGGTGTGGTGGTGCATGTCTATAGTCACAGTTACTGGGGAGGCTGAAGCAGGAGAATTGCAAATTTGAGGCCAGCCTCAGCAACTTAAGRAAACCCTGTCTCAAAATAAAAAAGGATGGAAATATAGCTCAATGGTAGAGTGCCCCTGGATTAAATCCCTAATACCACAAAAAATGAATAAACAAAGTGAAAAGGACTAGGGAGGTAGCTCAGTGGTAATGCATCCCTGGTTCAATACTCAGTACCAGAAAACATTTCTGACACTAGTTGTATGGGTTTTCCACACATTTTAATTCTCCAGTTTTCTATAGACCCCAACCAGGTGTCCTATGGTTTAATTTGATTCTGGAGCAGAGTTAGTGTGGACTCCAGTGAAAGGCTCAGGCCCACAAGACTGTCCCCACTTATGCCTGTCACAAATCTGGATCTCCCGTACTTCTGACCAGTGAGCTATAAATTGGGAAGTCCTATAGTCCCCACTTTAGGTTCAATAAAATTATTGAATAGCTCACAGAACTTGGGAAAACAGTTTATTTACTATTACCAATTTATTGTAAATGATACAACTCAGGAACAGCCAAATGGGAGAGAAGCCTAGGTCAAGGCTTGAGGAGAGTATGCCTGCAACATCCCATGCCGTCCAAGTCTACCACCCCTCCCATCATCTGTCAGTGTTAACTAATCCAGAAGATTTCCAAACTTTAGGGGTTTTATGGACTTTCTATTACATAAAGATGATTGACTAAAGCAGTGGCCACTTGATAATTAACCTGATCTCTGGCCCCTCTGGGTGGGCTCAAAGTTTTAACCCTCTCATCACAGGTTGGCAGTAGAACCCATCCTATAGTAGTCAYCTCATTAGCATGAACTCAGTTATGGTTGAAGGAGATTTAACAAAAGAGGTTCTTTTGACCCCTGTCAGAAATTCTAGGGTTTTAGGAGTTCTGTGCCTGGGTTCAAAGACCAGATGTATTTCTTACACTGCAAGAGGATATATATTCTTATTTGTGTGTGTGTGTGTGTGTGTGTGTGTGTGTGTGTGTATATGTATGCATGCGCACAGTTCTGGGGATTGAACCCAAAGCCTCAGGCTTGCTAGGGAAGTGCCACACCGTGGAACTACGCATCTAGCCCTTTTCCTTTTGAGACAAGGTCTCCTTAAATTATTCATTCTGGCCTTAAGTTTGCAGTTCTCCTGCCTCAGCTGCCTGAGTATTAACTGGCATGCCCAATCCTGCCTAACTCATTCTTGTTAATAAAAAATGCTTCTGGAAGGAAGGGACTAACACTAATAGTAATTGRGCAAATGGGTGGTGAAAAGGAGCTAGGATGGGAGAACATTTTTCACAGAGTACTGTGCCTTGATATGTTTTGATTTTTTTTAAACATATGAATACATATTTTTTCAAAAAATTAAAAATATCTTTCAAAAACCAAGTTCATGCATCTCCTCTTCCATGAACCTTTACTGACAACTTCAACCCAAATTGGAAAGCGTTAAGAATTATTTCTTCATATCACTGTGGCAGTTTCTTTAGGCATTTAAAATTTTGTCATCAAAGCCACCTCCTTACATAGCTTTCTGACACCAAGAGCATTGAGGATAGTACCTAGTAAAAAGTAACTGGTTCAAAGGAAAACTAATGCAGAGATGGAACTCAGATTAGTGTTTGCTACCAATGGGGAATAGCAGATTGACTTGTTTCTGGCATGAAGGGACCTTGGGGAATCATAGAAATGTTCTATTTCTTGATTTGATTGATGATTATATTAGTATACACACTCATCAAAACTTTAAATAGGTACATTCCTTTTACTGTATGTGAATTATTTCTCACTAGAGTGTAATTTTAAGAAAAAAGTTAAACTGGGCATCTTGAACAACTTTTTTTTTAAAGTAGTGTTCAGTATTTCTTAAAATGAGTAATCATTTTTCTGCCTAATTTCACATTACTTTATTCACTTCTCAACAGTTCTGAAACACAGACAACATTGGGGGAGAAAGGAAGTGAAGATTCATCTTATAAGCCAATTTTTTCAACTCTTCCTGAAACCAACATTTTAAATGTGGTTAAGGTAGGAAAAAAGAGTTTGTGTGTGTATATGTCCTTAGCAGACAGAGCTAGATGGTTAATAGTAACCAAAAGAAAAGAGAAAGGAAAAAAATAGTTTCTTACCTAATAAAATTTCTTAGCAATAATTAATCTTTTATTGAAGGTGGGTTTTTGCTGTTTTTATTTTTGTTTAAATATTAAGAGCAGAAGGGAACTTTAGGTCAGTGTTACATCATTAAAGTAGTTTTGAGACCAATTCCTTTTTGGAATTGGGGTATGTAAAGACCAAAGTGTCTCAGTATAATTTAGTGATCAAGAATAATAACTGTTAGCTGGGCATGGTGGCACATACTTATAATCCCAGTGGCTTGGGAGACTAAGGCAAGAGGATTGCAAGTTAAAAGCCAGCCTTAGCAAAAGCGAGGTGCTGAGCAACTCAGTGAGACCCTGTCTCTAAATAAAATACAAAACGGGCTGGGGAGGTGGTGGCTCAGTGGTCAAGTGCCCCTGAGTTCAATCCCCAGCACCGAAAAAATAATAATAATAATAACTGTAAAACATTTTCATGGCTGAATCAAATGTCAAATCAGTGATACTGAACCATTAACAGAATCTTTAAAATCTTTAAATCTTTTTTTAGAGAGAGAGAGAGAATTTTTTAATATTTATTTTTTAGTTTTCGTCGGACACAACATCTTTGTTTGTATGTGGTGCTGAGGATTGAACCGGGCTGCACGTATGCCAGTCGAGCACACTACCGCTTGAGCCACATCCCCAGCCCCCATTAACAGAATCTTGAAAGAAAAAATATTTACCATTTAATTCAGCTTATTAGCAAGAAGAGCATTTCTGGGCCCCCTTTTCTGGATATCTGATACTTGTTTTATGTAGATTTCTCTTTTGCTAAAAAGATTTTACAATTAAAATTCATCAAGTAAAATAAACCTTCTTAAGTTGCTTTGTCTGCATTTGTGTCAAAAAGTTTTTAGGCTTGTGTACATCCATACATCCAGAAGGTTACCAAGACCGTGAAATAATGTTGCTGATTTTGATGTTGTTTAAAATGAGTTTGGAAAAACAGCTGAAACAGATTCCTCTAGTTGACTTTCAGAGCCTCCTGATAAACCTGATGAAGAATATCAGAGATTGGAACACAAAGGTAACATTACTTAAAACTTGAGTATTGGTCTTTTGARTAGCATCACAATTTGACTTTCATAGTGCATACAGAATTAAAATTGTTCCTAAGCTCAGTTAAAATCTTTAACAAGTGGAAAAGAGACTGTGGAAGGGGCTATGTTTCCTGGAACCTGTATTATATAAATTTAAAATATTTATTTTCTAAAACTGCAGCTATTCATTCAACAGAGATGTATTTATTGAGGATTTACTATGGACAGGTATTCATATGATAGGTGCTAGAAACCCAGTTGTGGAAAAGACAATGCCCTTGCCTTCATGAAGTTTTCATCCTACTCAGAGTTAAATGATAAGTAAAGATAGATTGAAATAACATATCAGGTTGTAATTAAGTGTTGCAAATTAAAAGCAGGACGTGGGTAGAGAGAGTGGAAAGATATGGATGCCAGGTTATTTCATATGAGGCAGTCAGGGGAAGACCTTTCTGAAGTGACCTTTGAGCAAAGAGACCTAAGTAAAATTAGGGAATAATTCATACTTAAGGCTAGAATTGAAGTTGAACTTGAGTAGCCATGTGGAGTAGCCATGTACAATTTTTATATAGAACTTTTAAATTTTTCCACCACTTTTTATGGAAAATTAAAAACACAATAGTAGGGAGAGTGTAATAAACTCTTAAGTAGCTACTAGCCAGCTTCAAAAATTATCAAAACACAATCAGTGTTGTTTACTGTTACTCCCACCCCACAATTCCCCTACTTATAAGATTATTCTGAACCAACTATTAGGTTTTTTTCTTCCCCTTTGGTACCTGGGATTGAACCCAGGGGTGCTTCACCGCGGAGCCATATCCCCAGCTCTTTTCTTTTTTTTTCTTTCTTTCTTTCTTTCTTTTTTTTTTTTTTTTTTTTTTTTTTTTTTTTTTTTTTTTTTTTTTTTTTTTTTTTTTTTTTTTTTTTTTTGAGGCAGGGTCCTGCTAAGTTGCTTAGGGCCTTGCTAAGTTACTGAGGCTGGCTTTGAACTTGCAGTCCTCCTGCCTCAGCCTCCCAAGCTGTGTATGCCACTGTACCTGGCAACTGTTAGGCTTTCAAAAATACTTGAAGCTGGGCATAGTGGTGCACRCCTATAATCCTAGTGACTTGGGAGGTTGAGATTAGAGGATTGCAAGTTCAAGGCCAGCCACAGCAACTCAGCAAGGCCCTAAACAATTTAGCAAGAACCTGTCTCAAGAAATAAAAAGGGCTGGGGATGTAACTCAGTGGTAATGCCCCTGTGTTCAATTTCCCGTTAAGCTCCCACCTCACCCTACCACCACCAAACAAATAGATAAAATGAAATGCTGGAGTAGGATCCCTAAAGTGCAAGAAATTCCAGGTCAAAARCATATATGATTTTGTGCAGTTCTCATTATACACATTTGGAAACTGGCATTTGTGTTTAGATTGCTTTATTCTTCCAATAAGGACTGTTTAAAGATATGTTATGACAGAATATGAAAGCCAAGTGAATTTCTGATGAATACATTTGGTTTATGATAGTATAGAATCTGTGTTGTATGCCTTTCAGCAGGTTCTAGATTCCATGCATTTTCAAAAATTGAGCATTCTATTTTGTTAGTGCTTCCATTAGAATAGGAAGGGATGTAGATTTGATTATCTGCTGTTCTGTTYGGAAAAAAATCTTGCACATTTCTTTTTTCTCAGGTACCTGAACTCTGTCTGGGCATAAATGAACTCTCCAGCCATCCTCATAATCTTCTGTGGTTGGTACAGCTAGTCCCTAACTGGACATCACGTGGAAGGTATTGAAAAGTGAGAATGAAACATTAAGAAATTTTATGTTTATAATGAAATACTTTGGGGTCCTTTATTTTCAATCACCATTCTTTGAATGTTACATAAGAGCCAATTGTTAATCATATTCAGTTGAGGGTAAAAGCATTTATAACCTGATTTTGATTGTTTTTTTTTTATATTGCGGATTGAACCCAGGAGTACTTGAGCTACATCTCCAGCCCTTTGTATTTTTTATTTTGAGATAGAGTCTTGATAAGTTGCGTAGGGTCTTGGTAAATTGCCAAGGCTGGCCTCAAATTTGTGATCTTCCTGCCTCAGCCTCCCATGTTGCTGGAATTACTGGTATACACCACCACATCCAGCTGATTCTCATTTTTAATTCAAGTCATTCTGTAATCCTCCTCCTACATACCCCTCTCCTACCACCATTACCACTGTGCTACATCTCCAGCCACTTTTTTGTTGCCTAGGCTGGCCTCACACTTGTGATCCGCCTGCCTTAGCCTTCTGAGTAGCTCGGATTATAGGAATGCAGCACTGAACCTTACTGTGATACTTTTGAGTTTTAGTTTAGCTGATAATAGATGACGAATACTGTAAAAATGAATGAATTAGGGCTGGGGCTGTGGCTCAGTAGTAGAGCACTTGCCTTACATATGTGAGGCACTGGGTTCCATCTGCAGCACCACATAAAAATAAACAAAGATATTGTGTCCAACTACAACTAAGAATTTTTTTTACAAAATGAATGAATTATATAGCCTTCTCTTGAGACATTGCTTATATTTACAGTTAGAACTAGAACAACTTTTGGCCCATTCATTTGTTTCTCAAGTGATATTGATTAAAATGTTATTGTTGTTGTTTTTGTGGTGCTGGGGATTGAACCAGGGGCCTTGTACATATGAGGCAAGTACTCCACCAACTGAGCTGTGTCGCCAGCCCAGCTTTCTAAATACTTTAAAATTCTAATTTCAGGCAACTCAGACAGTGCCTCAGTCTAGTGATAATTTCAAAGCTTTTGGATGAGAAACATGAAGATGTCCCAAATGCCAATAATCTGCAGGTATAAGTACTACTTTTTTCTTTTTTCTTTTTTTTTTTTTTAATTTATTTTTAAGCTTTAGGTGGACACAATCTTTACTTTATTTGTATGTGGTGCTGAGAATCGAACCCAGTGCCTCATGCATGCTAGGTGAGCACGCTACCACTTGAGCCACATCCCCAGTCCCTACTTTTTTCTTTTTTAATGTGGTAATGGTAGTGAAGTGTAGCGAAATTGACACCTAAGTCAAAAACCCTTAGTCATGTTACTATTCATGTAATCTTTAGCATGGTACTTGCCTAACAAGATCCAGTTTCTTAACAGGAGACTAATAGAGCAAAGGAAGGGGATCAAGAGGGAAGGAGGAAGGAATGCAAGAGGTACTGGAGAATAAAATTGACCAAATTATGTTATGTCCATGTACAGATATAGCAGTAGGGAATCCCACTTTTATGTATGTTTATAATGCACTCGTTAAAATAATAATAGAAGGGAGACCATTAGACTAGAAGAAGGAATTTGGGGGGTGGGGGATGAGAGGAAGGAAAGGGGAGGCACCAGGGAATGAGATTGATCAAATTAATTTGCAAGTAGAATTATGTCGCAATAAATCCCACTGTTATGTGTAATTATAGTACACCAATTAAAAAAAAAAACATAAAAGAGAACCTACTATTGGCACATAGTGCTACTATTAAAAAAAAAGATAAATTAAAAATAAAGGGTTCTTGTTTGAATGCAGTTAGTATAATATACTCTATCAGGTTCTTAATTTTGTTTGTTGCAACTTTTTCCTTTATCACCCATGTAAAAAAGAACATAAAAATAAGTCCTGGGGCTGGGTTTATGGCCCAGCGGCAGAGCACTCACCTAACATGTGCGAGGTACTTGGGTTCGATCCTCAGCACCACATAAAATAAATAAATAAAATAAARATATAAAAAAATTCTGAATTTAAAAATAATAATAGTAAATCCTGAGATGCACTAATTCATATTTGAATTATACCGTCTAGATTTTTTTTAACTCTTTATAATGATTCTTTTCAGAATTTAGTGATTTCTATCCACTAAGAAATTGAACTTCACTGTTTTTCAAATAATTTCACAAAGAAATTTGTTATTTCTGTTATTTGGCCTTCTAAACATTTATCCTTATTTATAAGTACTAAATCTTTAACTTAAAATCTCATTTTAAGTATTTGAGGACTTTTAAGTAAAGAGGAAATGAATATCACTGGACTATTAAAAAAATAAGCTAGAGAGGACAAATTAGAGAAGGCAAAATGAACAGTGGGGAACACTAGGGAAAAGTAGCCTAAACAACTGTATTGCTTAGCATTATTCATTCTCTCCTTTTTCTTTTGATAGATATCCGTCCTGCATCGATATCTTGTGCAAATGAAACCTTCTGATTTGTTGAAGAAAATGGTCTTAAAGAAAAGGGCTGAACAACCAAATGGCACTATTGATGACAGTCTTCATTTAGAACTTGAAAAGCAGGTATCTAGAATCTTAAAGAGTACATAAGTGCATAAAGTGATTTTTTTTTTCCTTTTAATTACTGTCGTGACATAACTCAGTAAACTTGAGAGCTAAGAATTTAGGTAAAAGGATGGTTRTTGATAATGTAAAACTGGAAGGAATTTTTGTAGCTCTGTACTAGGGTAGTTGTGAAGGATGCACTTGAGTTAGAAATCTTTAAAAGGCCTAATTTAAATGCATGTCTTTTTCTTTCTTACTAGCTGGATTAAATTCTTTATCCTCCCAAACCACTTTCTTAATGGGTAAATTGTGAGTGACATCAGTGCTAGCTAATTCCTAGGTATTAATTTTATTTATTTCTCTAACAGGCATATTACCTGACCTACATTCTTCTTCATTTAGTTGGTGAAGTTAGTTGTTCTCATTCTTTTTCTTCTGGACAACGGGTAGGTAATGTTTAATGGTTGTGTTTTAAAAGGTGTAACTATTGCTAGAATGAATGAGCACGCTTTAGTTAGGAGAATACTTAATAAAGGTTAACTGAAAAGAGGGGAGTGATAGTAACCTGCAAACATATCATATCAACAAGAATTATTTGTCAACAAATGTTAGTTCAGTTGGTTGGAGTACAGTTTACCCATCATAACTTGGCAACAGTATAATATATTCACAACCAAGGTCACCAGATATCATTTGGGCAGCTTTTAGCTGATTTCTTCTCATCTCTTTTCACATTTCTTTTTTCTTTCTATTCTTTTAAAAGAAATAACATTTGGCTGGGCATGGTGATGCATGCCTATAATACCAACAGATCAGGAGGCTAAAGCAGGAGGATTGTTGAGTTCAAAGCCACCTTCAGCAACTCAGTGAGACCCTGTCTCTCAATACAACAAAAAAGGGCTGGGGATGTGGCTCAGTGGTTAAGCACCCCTAGGTTTAGTTGCCAGTACCTAAAAAATAAAAAAAAAAAAAGAAATAATATTTGCCTTCAACACTAAACTGATGTTAAGCCATGCCACTTTAGGAGTGGGTTTAATTTCCAAATTATATCCACATATTACAGTTTTGATACTGGGGATTGAACCTGGGGTGCTTTACCACTGARCTACATTCCCAGTCCTCCTTTTATTTTAATTTAAGTTGATTAGGCTGGCCTCAAATTCATGATCCTCCTACCTCAGTCTCCCAAGTAACTGGGATTACAAGTGTGCACCATCAGTAGTGGATTGTGTATATTTTTACATTTAACAAGCAATAGACCACAACCATCCTGTTATCATGGAAGTAACACTGATAGGACTGATATTATGTTGGATGATTAACATCAGAAATTGCTAACTAGAGAATGATAGATTTTTTTTAATAACTTAATTGTTCTAATTACCTAATTCTTTATTAATTTGTAATGCTTAAGAATTGTTTTCATCCCTTGCATTTGTTTTGTCTTGTACAGAAGCACTTCGTGCTACTCTGTGGGGCTTTGGAAAAGCATGTTAAATGTGATATTAGGGAAGATGCAAGACTTTTTTACAGAACTAAGGTAAGTGTTTTTTTTTAAATTAGTTTTTGTGTTAAGTCTTGGTTAGATTAATATTTAAAAGCAGAAGCCAAGCATGGTGACACACACCTGTAATTCCCAGGAATTTGGGAGCCTGAAGCAGAAGGATTGCAAGTTCGAGGCCAGCCTCAGCAATTTAGTAAGGCTATCTCAAAATAAAAAAAGGAAAAGGACTGAGGATGTAGCTTAGTGGTAAAGTTCCCCTGGGTTCAATCCAAACAAAGATTTTTATAAATTTAAGGTCCTAGATTCCCAACACTACAAAATAAATAAATAAAAGATTCTTCTCTTTTTAAAAAAATATTTTTTTAGATTTTTTTTTTTTTTTTTTTTTTTTTTTTAGTTGTAGATGGACACAATACCTTTATTTTTGTATGGTGCTAAGGATCAAAAAAAGAAAGAAAATTTAAGGAAGAAAACCACATAAGCTTCTCTTTTAGAAAAAAAGAGTAATAGGTGCTGGGCATGGTGGTGCACACCTGTAATCCCAGTCATTCAGGAGRCTGAGGCAGGAGGAGGATCACAAGTTTGAGGTTAGCCTTGGCAACTTAGTAAGGCCCTGCCTCAATAAAAAGGGCAGGGGATTTATTTAATGCTCTGGTAGAGCGCTTGCCTAGCATGCCAAGGCTCTAGATTCCCAACACTACAAAATAAATAAATAAAAGATTCTTCTCTTTTTAAAAAAATTTTTTTTTTTTTTTTTTAGCTGTAGATGGGCACAATACCTTTATTTTTGTGTTGTGCTAAGGATCAAACCCAGTGTCTCACACATTCAAGGCAAGCACTCTACCACTGAGCTACAACCCCAGCCCAAGACTTTCTTAATAACAAATCATCTTCTGCTAAGTACTTTTCTAGCTAGATTGACAGAGAAAAAAATCTCAAAAGCAAATACATTTTGTTTTTTATTCTGAAACTCCAGATACCAAAAGAGAAAAAATTCTTTCTAGTGGAATTTCTTAGTTTTTTTCCCATAGTACATATTAAAGCCCTTATGCTTAAGATAGTGTCAAAGTATCAAGGATTGAACCATTGTTTAAATAAAGATATAACTAAAAAATAGTGGCTATAAAATTTTATAATGCTCCATTTGATTTAAATATGTCAAGATCGTTGTACTGTCATGTGTAACTATTAAAACAAATTAAAAAAAAGAAAATCTAAAAAAATTTTTATAATGGTTGAAAACTTGTTTAAAGAAGAAATAAGGTTAGCTAGTTTTTTTGTTGTTATTTTTGGTATTAGGGATTGAACCCAGGAGCACTTAACCACTGAGCCACATCCCCAGCCCATTTTATTTTTTTGAGACAGGGTCTCACTAAGTTGCTTAGGGCCTTGCTAAATTGCTGAGACTGGCTTTGAACTTGCATTCCTCCTGCCTCAGCCTCCCAAGTCACGGGATTACAGGCATTACACCCAACCAGGCAACTATTATTCTTTGAATATTTCATTTGACCCTTCAAATCTCTGGGTCACCTATTCTGAGCTGTAGAATGGAAATGATTCAAGCCTGCTAGTTGTTTTGTTTTGTTTTATTTTGTTTCTTCAAAGGTTTTTGTATACTTAAAGATAGTAGAAAAACCAAATTTATGAACCATAGGGTAGGAAAGCAACTTTAGTATTAATTTTGTGAGTTTTTCCTGAAACAAAATTAAATAATGCTTTTTTAAAACTTAAAAGGATTTTTTAATTTCCAAATCATCTTTTAGTTTTTGTAAAGTGGATTCTTTTGTTCCTCTGGTGTTTGGCTTGTCATTGTCTCTCAGCATTGTAACTTTTATCTCTCACATTAATTAGCTGTAAAGGCTAGTAATTTGGTTAATACGCATTTGGATATAGTATATATTTACTTTAGTGCATTGAAGTTAAGTACAGAAATATAATTGTAGAAATTAGAACACATTTCAGATTTCCAGATACACATATGGGATAACTCTTTGCCTTAGAAGGGAAGCCCTACATCTCAAAGCACATTCTGAACTTGGTGGTTGTGACCACTACTGACAGACATGCTTACCATGGACCACCTCCTGCCTCAGCCTCCCAAATCACTGAGATTACAGACATTCTTTATGTTTCTTAAAACCAAGGGCCTAGCATAGATTAGTACCAAGGCTTCTCTTATTTACAGTGGAATTGACAACAGTGGTTTGTGGAAATTGTTTCAGAAGGTGGTCCTACTGAAATTGGTGAGTTGCAAGCCTCTCCAAAAGCCTCTACTAGAAAACTTATTTTGGCGACACTTAAATTTGCTGAACTATAGATGGGGAACAAAGCAGAAGTTGTAATTTACTTCAGGCAGTGTAAAATTCCTTGTTTAAAATATTTTTCTCAAGCAGTTATGGCAAGAGCTAATCAAGAATTTCTAGTGGGGCAGAATTTTGCTAAACGTCTAAACATAGGAATATACCAGGTATTTGAAGGGGATTCATAGCACTTTGTAAAAACATGGAGAAGAATAGTGGTGAATTTTGGGTCTTCTGATAATGTGGAAAGGAACAAATGACAAATGTTTTTTGTGGTCTTGAGTCTTTCAAATAGAAGGTGGTAAGATAGGGAACAACTAAAGCCTTGAGCCCTATAACACAGTCCACCCTTAGTTTCTCTATTTAGTTGTTATAAAGCCAGCAAATCAAAAATGTAAGTTCCTTTGAAGGCAGGATTTATGTTTTTCTGGATTATCTTTAATCACTAATAGGAAAATTGAACTCTAAGCATTCAATATTTTTGTTAATGATGATAAAGGAAAATTTTGTTGATCACTGTAATTTGAAAGCCCCTCTAAAAGATAAGGAACTTGTTTTCTCTTAACAAAAATCAAACCAAGTGTGGGTCTGTCAAAGCTCTAAGATCTTTTGTATCAAGTTGTAAATGGATTGATTGTAGGTTAGGATGTTTTGATCTGATACATTTTCCTCTTTGATATTTTTAAGGTGAAAGACTTGGTTGCCAGGATACATGGAAAATGGCAGGAAATAATTCAGAACTGTCGGCCTACTCAGGTGTCATTTTATTAAACAATTTATTAATAGTTTTACTAAGTGGTACTTTTCATACTTTTGAAACAGAGTTCAACAGAAGACTTGCTTCTAATTATCTATAAATTAAAAATGCCAGTATAATATAGATTGTTTGTATATGAATGGTTTTTGTTTGCTTTATTATGTTTATTAATTTATTTTCAGAGGTGGCCAAACCCATTTCAGAATACATCAAATGGAGGTTATTTCATAAGAAGTATTACTCCCTACCCCCATTTATTTCCCTTGTTATTAATTGAACCCAGGAGTGCTCTACCACTGAACTATAACCCCATYCCTTTTTACTTTTTTTAATTTTTAATTTTGAGATAGACTCTCACTAAATTGCCCAGGCTGGCCTTGAACTTGCAATAATCCTGCCTTGGCCTCCTGTTAGCTGGGATTACAGGCTTGCATCACCATGCCCAGCTAGGGAACATTTTTTTCTTACTAGTTCTATAAATATATAATACACACAATATATATTTCACCCACTTAAAAGTATATAATGCTTTTTAATATATCCAGAGTTGTGAAGTGAATGCCATTACAATCATAGCCTAACTTTAGAACATTTTTGTCACCTGAAAAGAAATTCCATACCCATTCGCAGTCACTCACCATTCCCCCACTACTCTCATTCCCCTCCTCACTCCCTTAAGATCTAGACATGTCTGTATAGATTTGCCTGTTCTGAACATTTCCTATACATGAAATACACTGTGGTCTTTGACTAGTTTTTTTCACCTAACATAATGATAAGTGAATCCATGTTGTGGTATGCATGTTCTTTCTATTGATGGACAGTTTTCGACTATATGGATATATCACKTGTCCATTTTATGAAATGGACATTTGAATTGTTTCTATTTTCTGTTATGGATAATGTTTCCATGAACATTTGTATATATGTTTTTGTGTGAATATGCTTACAAATGAAAACATCTTAAGCAAATAACTGAGAGTAGAATTGCTGATCATTTGGTAATTCTATGTTCAACTTTTTTTGTTTTTGTGAGCTTTTTGATTTTTCATATGTGGGTTTTGTTTTGTTTTGTCTTGCAGCACTGAGAATTGAGCCCATCTTTACCACTGAGCTATTTTTTACTTTGAGATAGGAACTCACTAAGTTGCTGAGGCTGGCCTTGAACTTAATCCTCCTGCCTCAGCCTCCTAAAATGCTGGGATTATAGGCACATGCTACCAAACTCAGTTTCTATGATCAGTGTTTTAAGTAACTGCCAGAGTGCTGCATGATTTTACATTTCCACCAGAGTGTTTGAAGATTCTAGTTTCTCCACATTCTTCCCAATTATTATCTGTCTTTTTTATTAAAACTATATAGTCAAGGAGTGGGAAGTGAAATATTGTGGTTTTAATTGCATTTTCCTGACAACTAATGGTGTTGAGCATCTTTTAATATGCCTTTTGGCCATRTATACAGCTTCCTTGGAGAAATGTCTATTCAGATTTGTTGCTCCTTTTTTTTTTTTCCTTTGGTACTTAGGAATAGAACCCTGGAGTACTTTACCACTGAACTCCATTCCCAGTTCTTTTTATTTTTAATTTTGACACAGGGTCTTGCAAAGTTGCTAAGGCTGGCCTCAAACTTGCAATCTTCCTGCCTCAGTTTTTAAAATCACTGATATTACGGCCTGTGCTACTTTGCGAGGCTCACTTTCCTTTTTTTTTTTTTTTTTTTTGCAGTTATAGATGGACAGGGTGCCTTTATTTTGTTTATTTTTTATGTGGTGCTGAGGATCCAACCCAGTGCCTCACGCTTGCCAGGCAAGTGCTCTGCCACTGACCTACAGCCTCAGCCACTCACTGCCTGTTTTTTAATGGTTTATAGTTTATTTATCTTTATTGTTGAATAGTAAGAATTTTCCATGTGTTCTGGATAGAATTTCTTTATTAGATAGATAATTTACAAGTATTTTGTTTCCTCTGTTGTCTTCATTGTCTAGGTAGTATCATTTATAACACAAACATTTTTACTTGTAGAATCCAGTTTATATCTTTTTTTTTTTTCCCCCTTTTGTCATTCATGCTTTTGGCCTCATTTAAAGAGGTTTTCGGGGGCTGGGGATGTGGCTCAAGCAGTAGTGCGGCCCAGGTTTGATCCTCAGCACCACATACAAAGAAAGATGTTGTGTCTGCCGAAAACTAAAAAATAAATATTAAAAAATTATCTCGGGCTGGGGATGTGGCTCAAGTGGTAGCGCGCTCGCCTGGCATGCGTGCGGCCCGGGTTCGATCCTCAGCACCACATACAGACAAAGATGCTGTGTCYGCCAAATACTGAAAAATAAATATTAAAGTTCTCTCTCTCTCTCTCCCTCTTTCTCACTCTCACTCTTTCTTTAAAAAAAAAAAAAAATTCTCTCTTTCTGTCTCTCTCTCACTCTCTTTAAAAAGAGAAAAAAAGAGGTTTTTGCCTAGTTTGGCATTTTTCTTCACATCTGCTCAACAGTTCGCCATCTTTTTTGTTTATAAACTAACTAATACAGGATTGTCTAAAATGATAATTCTAAGAGTTGGGGCTGGGGTTCAGCAGCAGAGCACTAGCCTAGCACGCACGAGGCACTGGGTTTGCTCCTCAGCACCACTTAAAAATAAATAAATAAAATAAAATGTTTAAAAAAATAACTTATGAGTCAACAAAGAAATCATAATAAAAAATTTTAAAAATAAATAAAATGATAACTTCTAAAGTTTTAATATAGGAATCAACTTGGAACTTGGTGAAATGTAGATTCTGATTCATTAGGTCTGAGGGACCTGAGATAGTCTATTCATTAGGGACCTGTGATAGTCTACAATTCCAGTAAGTTCTCAGATTGATACTAATGCTGCTGGTTCAGAGACTATACTCTGAGTAGCCAGGGCCTAAACATTGTTTATAGTTCACTTCATGTGCTAGCAGAAGTAAATCTGACTTTTTTTTGTACTAAGGATTGAACCTCAGGGGTGCTCAATACTGAGCCACATTCCCAGACCTTTGTATTTTTTGTTTTGTTTTGTTTTATTTGGGCTTGGGGGGGGGCAGTTACTGGGGATTAAACTCAGGGGTACTTGACCACTGAGCCACATCCCCAGCCCTATTTTGTATTTTTTTTTAGAGACACAGTCTCACTGAGTTGCTTATTGCCTCGCTTTTGCTGAGGTTGGCTTTGAACTTGCAATTCTCCTGCCTCAGCCTCCCAAGCTGCTGAGTTTACAGGGGTGTACTACTATGCCTGGCAAATTTATACTGCTTTGTTGTTTCAGTTTCTAACCCTCAGTAGACTTTTTTCAGTCTGGCCATCTGTGCTGATGTGTTATTAAAATAGAAAATAATAACAAAACCTTATATTAATCAGTTTAACATAATAATCTCCTAAAATATGACCCTTCATGAGTACAATGGTGAGAAAAAATATCCTGTTTACATTATACTTCTTTTGATTGTTAGATCACAAATGTGGCATTTGAACCTGATTATCTGAAATTTTTAGAAAAAATGTATAATATAAAGATTTTATTACTTTTGTTATCAAAACCCATGATTTTTATCACAACCCATGATGATTAGTAGTTTTATATAAGGGTTAATTCAT